ATATATATATATATATATATACATGCATATATATTTATATACTTATATATTCATATATGTATATATAAATATAATTTTGTACACAATGTTCCCGAGTATCGCGACGAGCTTGGAAACTATAATACAGTCAAACATTCCTTCCTTCAATCGAGGATAAACGACGACAATATTCTTGGACGAAATTCCTTTTTTGTACGTATACAGGTTTGTTCTAATCATCAACTCTTCTATCCTACGATCTTTATACCGATAATCAAAAAGTTATCGAGTTCGATCGCGACGATCGGGAACAATCTGTCCATGATCAGTGCTTATATTTATGCCAAGACACGAACGGGAAGAGCATTAATAATCGCGATGTTTTAATATTATTCATAAATTCTGCTAAAATTCACTCGTTCGTCCTATCACGATCGATCTTTCTTTTCTTTTTCTATTTTCTTCAGGAATCTATAGTGGCCTTAATCACTTCATCCTCTTCCTCAAAGATGACACGATTTCTCATCTTCGACGATCACTAAAGTACGAAAATCAACATTTTTCACGATGAGTCAAAATCATTGAAGCACTTTTTATTATTTTATTGTTCATTCGAGAAAAAGAGAAAGAGCGAAAAAGAGCGAGAGACAGATAGATAGAAAGATAGATAGAAAGATAGATAGATAGATAGAGAGAAAGAGAGAGAGAGAGAGAGAGAAAGAGAGAGAAAGAAAGAAAGAAAGAGAAAAAGAAAAAGAAAGAGACAGAGATTCGGGAGCGGCAGCAGCAAACATCATATCATTTCCTATATTTGTAATAAGCGTATTTCGAAAATTCGGCCACGTAGAGCATTACATAGTTTTTTATTCATTCGATAACGATGCTTGCTGCAATTTTGATTCTCATCGAAGGTTGTGACGATAAGGACAACGCAGGCTGCCGCACCGTCGTCTCGTAATTTAATGTTTCCGATAACAAACGCGAATCGTGGCCCGATGTTACGCGTTGTCAACGGATACGCTTCGAAGAAAGGATTTTTCATGTTAAACGATCTTCATTCTCGATACATCGGACGATATTGTCATAAAAGTCCTCCATATTGTTTACATATAATGTAGAGTGATGATCAAAACCCCGACTTTTGTTGGCGCACGATAAGTAGAGCCGTGAGTGTATTATTGATTTGTTTCTTTTATTATTCAAACTATGTATATAAAAATTCAACCAAATAGTATTACTTGTTTTCTTTAATAGCTTCTTTGTTGTGTGTCTACTATTGAAAAATATCACTGTAAAAAGAAACAAAAAAAAAAAAAGAAAATGAAGAAAATCAAAGACAATAAACGTGTATATAGGCTCGATGATATTTCTTTGCCTCTGATAGTCGGGATATCAAAAAAATTTTACTATCGAACTTCTATCATCGTCCATTCGACTCTCATTTCAAGTTTTCTCTATCCGAAGATTATCAAAACACACGGATACTCAGCGATCGTGTAAAACCACTTTGCGCGATAGAAGCGTATGTATACACGTACCGATATTTATATCTCTTACCAATTAATTTATATTTCTTCTTTTCTCTTTTTTTTATCGTCAATAAAATAGGACTAAACATCAGCTCGACAATGAATAAATCTAACTGATTAAGATCTTATAAAATTAATAAATTTCTATATAGATCTCGAGAGAGGATGGATGGATGGATATCGTTGCGATCACTATAGGCGTTTGCGAAACTTTAAATATAACAACTCGATTCTTCGATATGCAATGGGAAGACTAACTGAAATAAAACAAAACAATTTGTAAATGTTTAACTTTTGTTATAAATGTATGATAAAACGATAAAGATTTTTCTATGATGCATGTGTTGCGTGTGTATGTATGTGTGTATATATATATATACATATATGTATATATATGTATGTATGTTTCATGTAAATTCTTTTCAAGAGATACAATAACTATGTACATTGAAAAATCAACGATAACACTGCAACTACTCGCATAAGATACGGTTTTTATATTATATTTCTTCAACGAAATCGAGATCCACTACAATTGCAACGAATTATGACTTCAGTTTCGCTCGAAACATAACGAATCGTATTTTGCTCAGTGCCGTAGCACAATGTCATGGCTTGTAGAATAAAACACAACGTAGAACGTTAAAACACAACTATAATCAATAATCTTTAACATTACATCGCGATAACTCGACCATATCTCCTCCTCTCTTTCATATTTCTAAAACTCATCGTGCGCGACAAGTAAATGATTAGAAGCGCGCATTAAAAAAGAATGAAAAGGAAAGAAAAAGAAAAGAAAATAGAAAATAGAAAAAGGTGAAAGGAAGAAGAATAAAACGAACAGGCAGATAAAAAACTCTCGGTTCGGTAACCAGTTATTTAAAAAAAAAAAAAAAAAAAAAAAAATAGAAAAAAAAGAAAAAAAAAATGAAAATAATACAAATAATATCTTAATGAGTCGAAAGAAAAGAAAACTATGAAAGAACGAAAACGGCATCTTTTCCTAATCTTCCACCTAATTTTTTGTTACTGGGATAAAAACCGCATACGCATTAGTCATTAATCGAGCCGACCGAATTAGGCGAAATTAATGTTATACCTTATTTGATATTTGACCTTTGCCATTAATCGAAACATAAAAAAACGTCCTAATGTGAATGTGCAAACGTTGGAAGACACGAGAAAAGATCGAGGAACGTATAGTTTTCGTGCGCCAATTCGATAGATTAGAGATCTAAAATAGGAATGTTTATTTCTGATAAATGTAAAGAATAATTAAGTTCGAAAACAGATATAATTTATCATCAATGAAGAGATTTGGCGTGCGCTAAAATAGAATTGAGATGATCGTTGTTAGAGTTCGAGAAAAAAATATGAAATCTGGATGTTAAATTTATCATGAGTCTTTTCTAACGTTTCCTCGATCTTTTTAATTAGCAAGAAACTTTGACAAACTGGCACAAAGAACGTACGAGAGCGTAAGAAGAATAGGACCTAGACTCCGAATGCGATTAAAACGGAATATGAGCAAAATGAAGCGAAAAAATGAATAAAAAACGCGCTTGGGCTAACGAAGAAACTAGACGATAAAAACGAAAATAAAATGACATGCTATATAAATGTCGAGTAAAAAAAGCCTACTCACTTTCAGTTTTGCCCGTACGAAATTTTTCTAATTTATATATATATATATATATGTATGTATATATGTACATATATATGTATATACATAAGTTCTCATACGTAAAGTAAATTCGATGCGCGGTACAAAGATGTATTGCGTCTGCGTATGAAATCGTCGCATGGAAAAGAACGTAAGTTAAAAAAAGAAAAGGTAAAATAAAGAAAAAAATAATTGCAACGAATTAAAAAATCGGCAAGCCCGATATATTATTCATATATCGACGTTTTACCAGCTACGATGAAATATCGACAGTAGAAATATAACCTTGGTAACGTCTCTCGTATCTTTAACAATAGTAACAGACTAATATGAGATATAGTTGTATGATATAATATGTACAAGTTATATTTTGGTTTTCCACGTTCTTTCGTACTTTTTCTGCTACAAAGTTTTTCCGCTTAGATCTAGCAATTTGATAACTCGCTTTTCTCAACCGACTCGAAGATACCACCGAAATAACAAGGATTCTTCTTCGAGGAAAAAAACGACCAGCGCGGTCCTCGTTTTTCTCTTTGCCGTTCGATCACGAAACCCAGCCTAATGTCGTCGTGCTGTTATCAATCGGTTTTCAGTCATGTCACCGATTTTATTTTAATCTCTCCGATTGTCAAAGAAAATCTAACAGATTCGTGGTTGGGACAATAATCAGGAGAGGGGGGTCTCTCTTTTCATTCTTATTGAGTGGAACGTTACCTTATCAAGGTATACAATTTGAACGTTTTCGAATGTTTGTGAAAGATAGAAAATAGAATAACCTTCTACTACTATCGATGCGTTTCTTATATCGATGTACGAAAAAAAAAATGAAGAAAAATAAATGATTTCTGTGTTGGAAGATGAACTCTCGCAAAAAGTCGCGATCTAATGTTGACAGTCTTCGGTAAAAAGGAATGTATCCTAGGAAAAGAGTAGCTTCTATAGCGATATTAGATTGACGTCGCGATATTTTTCATATCGTTACGTCGAGACGATCTACGTTTTACCACGGAACGAAGGAAGTAAGCGACGATCCAAATCACCAGCTTGAGATCCTAAAGGGTTGACAAATTACTAGACCTACTTAAAAGTCGTTTTAACTAGCGAATAAAATAACTTGGCGTTATTTGGATGAGACCAGAATTGGCGGCTGTCGAGCAACTGCCGAGCGACCGAAACCACGCGAAGCTTATCGTGCTGCTACACTTTTTTATCGTCCAAGTTTCACGGACATGTTGCCTGTGGATGACGGTCATACCATCACCATGTCTTCGTCGACGCTTATGATAGTGGGAAAAGTGTTGTCTGCAGAACTTTGCCTCTGAATGGGTTTCTTTCGTACCAGACCGTCTACGAGAAATGGAAAATAAAATCAATATCTCATGCATGGAGAAAGACGCGTAATAACAAATTTTTAAGATAAAGACAAGAGAAATATACCGGCAGAAGGTGGAAGCAAATCGTCGAGAGATCCGTCGTCCAAGTCTGTAGCAGAGAGAAGAAGATCGTCGTCCGAAGAAGCACGGGTCAAGCTCGGTAACGTGGACGTCAACAGAGCTTTCTCCTTTTGAATCTCTTGTATGTGATCGACGAGCAAAGCTTCCTCTTCATCTCCCCGATCTCTTTCCCTATCGGCAGCACCGGTTCTTACCGCGATATTCGATGTCGCTACGTTCAATTCTTCCGGACTAAATATCTTTGAGGATCTTAAGTTGGACAATCGATGGGTCGCCGTGTGGCAAGCAGATTCCAAAGTATTTATGTCGGCCAAAGTTGCTCTGACCACTCGCAATTTCTCCTGCACGATCGTTTCCACGCAGCGAGTCTGCCTACCAACGTCTTGAAGCGAATCTTGAGCCGGCAAAGTTCGATTCGTCCTCAATATACACGGCGCGAAAACGATCGCCAGGGCAGACGATGACATTCGATTGTCTACTTCGTGCAATGCCACCCTTGCAAGATGTACGATCAATCGTTCCATCAGATCAAAATTTGGCTTCGGCAGTTTCTTTAGAATCGCAAAAAGCGTGCTGATTCTATCGTGAGGATCCGTCAAATTTGCGGCGTGAAGGAAATCGTCGTAATATTCGAAAGTCAACAGGGGCTCAGGCATATCTCGGAAGAAGCTCTTCAAAACGGCTGCGAGAACGTGTACCTGATAATTCTCAAAGTCTACCTTCTCTAAATCACCCTCGTCCATTTTCACTTTGAGCTCTCGTACTTTCGAACTTACTCCGCTCTTTCTGTATATACCTTCGGTGTACAATCCATGCATCTCTATAGTTGTGATCAGTCGATCAACTACGAGAGGTACTTTGCCGTCGCCACAGTCCAATTTGTACAACGGAACACCAAAAACTCTACGCGAATTCGCTTCTAGCATAGACGCCTCCTTTCCACAATCAGCCGCTGCTTTTGTGTAACACTTTTTGTGACAAGTCAACTTGCAATCTGTTTAAATAGGAAAAGAAAAAAGATAAATATAACAGAGAAAAAGTAATCTCCAAGGGGAACAAACGATCAAGACGTACTTACTTTGGCAAACAAGTCCTCGTTCGATCGGCCACATAAAAAACGAAGTACAAACTTCGCAAGCGGTGGGAATATTAATGATGGTTAATTGGAACATATGATTACCATGTCGTATAGGCTCTTCTTGTTTCCGCTTCTTTTCCTTTTTTCGTTTGCTCTTACTTTGCTTTTCCGGCGCTTCGGTCTTAACCAACGTCATGAATTCGTTCATAAATCCTCTAAAGGCATTAACGCCCATTGTCACGGGAAAATCTTCGCTGGTATTTTCTTGTTTACAGACAGTCTGCATAACGTGAAGAAAATTCGCTATTAAATCGGTGTACTTGATGTTTCCTTCCACGCCCTGTTGAATAGCAACGCTGTAAGTAATCACCAGCTCGTCTTTAAATTTACGTAACGCCTGCTTAAAAACGCGATCCACTTCGCTGGGTTTACTGCCTTCCTCTTGGGCCTCCATTATATATATTTTTTTAGTAATGAAGTCCTGCATAAACGCCAATTCTTTGGCATCAGATATGATCTTATCCGTACTATCGGAAAAAGCGGAGGTCCCGGTAAGATTGAATTTCGAAGTCACTGTTTGTTTGCTGGTGTCGGTGTACGGAGTACGCGGAGGCTTTCTGTTTTTCCGTCTATTTGGTGTATTTGTTAAAAGACATGGCATTTTGAGTACTCCTCCATTCTGAATGCATTTCACGTGATACAATTGTTTGCAATCGACGCACTTATATCCTTGAGTAACAAAAGCATCCATTTTTTCATGACAACAAACGCAAACATCGTCTTTGGCGAAACGTGCTACTTTTCTGAAACGATGACCAGCTAAGGTAAAAAGATTGTTACCTTTCCATTCCAACAGATTCATACCAGGAGCGAGTTTCAGTTCGTTAGGACTAGTGTCCACCCCAGGTTTATCGTCATTTAACACAGAGATTTTCGTAGCTGGATCGGAATTTCTTCTTCGAAGTTCCAAACTTGTTATAGCGTTGGATCTTGTCCGCTTTCCTGGCTGTTGACCCTTGTAAACCGCTTCATTTTTATTTACTGGCCAATCGGTGACGGATCTAGAGGTGACTTCGCTAGGACTCTCCTTCCTCGTCCATACATTGATATTTTCCATACGTTTCATGTCCGCCTCCTTAATAGTACCTAGGAATAAATTCCTAGTCTCTCCGGGATTCACATCTGAGACGCTCTCGCCCATGGACCTGCATTGGACTTCCCTCGATGGCCGATTTCGTCTAGCACTTCTTACCGGTACATCTGGCTCAAATTTGTCCTTCGGCCTAGAATTTTTATCTTTAGGATCTACTCTTCTGGCGAGAACGTTTTTTGTCATTTTTTCGTCGTTCGTGGATTCCGTTTTAGAAGCAGTGTCGCCTTCGGAATTTTGCCTTCTTAAGTAATTGATCTCTTTGACGTCTTTACATAAGCCATAGTTCTGCTCTCGTCTAGATGGTGAAATCGGTAGATTTTCTAAACGATCATTCGATAAACGCGAATCGCGTGAACTTTCCATCCGAACGAAACGTTCATTGGAGTCCAATTTGACGTTGTAATTTGCGGCTTCATTTGGTTGGTCCAAACGGGAGTGTTCTAAGACATTATCAGTAATGTTTTTATACTGAGAAACGTTCGGAGATCGAGTCACGGTTGCTTTCTGAGGCACTGACATAATGTAATCGTTATAATTGATAGATGGATACTCAGCTCTTCTTCGCCAAATATCCGAATTTGGACTGCGATTTAAATTTGCGTTGGGATGGTATTTGGTATCTCTAGGATTTGTAAATGACGGAGTGACATTGAAAATGGGTGGAGCACTTTGTACGGCATTCGGCGTATCTCCATCTGTTTCGCCATCGCTACAACCAGTTGACGAGCTATCGGTTCTTTTACTTATCGAAGACAATCTGTTGGAGGTCATTAAATTCGTATTCGCAACAATAACGACCGCATGTTCGCCACGTTTCGTTCTCGTACTGGGAATAGGCTTGCAACTCGAATTCTCTTGCGATTCGGAGCTATTAACGCTACCTTGAGATTCATAACTTTTTAAGCTAGTGAGACTTTCGATGCTGCTCTTACGTTCACCAATTTCTTCGGAATAAAACGTTTCTGAATTCTTCGATGTGACATTCGATTCGTGCAATATCCTTTTATTCTGTATAATTTTTCGTTTAGAGTAAGGTATCTTACTTGTATCACCGATTGTTTCTCTACATAAGTTTTCTTGCCTGTAAGATCAAGGTATTGAAATAAAAAAAAAGAAATATATAAATACACAAGGATACTTATTCGATTATAACTTACTTAATCGGCGTGACACGTTTCTGAGCTTCCAATTTTCGAGGTGACACAGTGTATTCTGGCAAAGAACGTTCTTCACAGGTGGACAATGATCTATGATGGATAATATGAAATACGTGAAACGCATCAGAAAGTAGACAAATTTTCCAAATATATGTTAATAAATACTTACTCTTCTGCATCGGTATTAGCAAGCGTGTAGGTGAGTTTTTGAAGCATATGTTCCTCGACATCCCGATTTTCTGTCGTTTCATCGATTTTTTTCATATACTTCCTTCGCCTTTTAAGTTCCATGAAAGCTTTCCTAGCATTATTACCCCTGACGTAAGCTTGAAAGATTGTTATGCAGGATGTTAATTTCTTAAACCAAGTACGTTGTTTGTATCCTTTCCATGCAGCTTGAATATGAATAGCAGCTTCCGTTCTTGCACGTAGCGCTTGTACGAATCGTTGGGCACTTGCCATTCTCCAAAATGACTGAATTTGCACTACCGCATTCTTTAACCTTAAAAACCTTCTTCTTTCTAAGCAAGCACGAAACCAGTTTTGTATCGTCGTGATACTTGTAATGATTTGTTGATGCAATTCTATATCCAGCTTTATCTTCTCGGATTCTCGAAGAAATACCTTTGTTGTTCCAAGCTGATAATTGTCTCTGTTCAGATTCAATGTTAACAAAAAATCACGTACATCCGATTGCGAACTTAAAAGCCCTTTAGGTAATAACATTCGATACAGCTGAATAAATTCGTCGTATGTTAATCTGACGTTAAAGCCTGCCTGTCTAATTCGAACGGTCTCTAACATTCCAGTATATCTTAGCTGCCGCTGTACGGTTTCTTCGTCAAATTCATTTGGAACTTTATTGGCATTGCTTTTTATGCATCTAATGAAAAAAGGATTTGCTTGATTTAAGGTATCCATAAGGCTGTGTAAACTTTGTTGAAATTGTGCCGATACAGTCATGGGTTGTTTTCTCGCTTTTCCAGGACCACTTCCGTAACTTTGCGTTCTTCCAGCCAGAGTTTTCACAGTTTGAAGATTTTTTAGCCCCTTTTTACCTCGTTCCCTTGGACGAAACGATTTATTTTTCCTGTAAACATTTTTAATTGAGAAGCGGTGATAAATATTTTGGAAAAGCGCTCGTCTCTATTCCTTTTCCTGTTTTTTGTTTACTTCATTATTTATTCTAAACTAATTATTTTCTTTTCTTTCATTAGGTAAAGCATGTGCACTTTTATGGAATATTATATTTACACGACAATAAAAAACAGGACAAGGAAAAAGCATTATAATGTCTACTTTGGCAAACAGTGCATTGCAATTATAATTTCTTTATTTTAAATTGTTTTCTTTTCCCATATAATTAATATGAAATGCAAGATATACGACAGCAGATAATTGGCAGAATATACAGAATATAATTTAAAGATAAAAAGCATAGAAAAATATTGTAACAATATATAGATGGTTAATTATTATCAAGATTTGATGACAATTTTGTTAAAAATATTTGTTGATATGTAAAAGAACAGGAATAAAAATATATTGATACTGTTGTTTTAGAGGGACGAAAGTAGATCGTACGAAAAATGCAATGAATTTTTCGATATGCATTAAATGTATGTCTATAAAAAAAATATATAGATTAGGAAAATCACATGGGTCAAATAGTATTTTAAATAATGAAACTATGATCTATTGTTATTAAACTGTGATCTATTATTATTGATAAACGAATAACATGCACCAACCACCGTAACGCATTGAAAATTGCAATTATTAAACTACATATTATATAAGAAGTTTCTTTGATGATAGATGATAGTAAAATTATATGTTTACATTCTGAAGGATTGTGCATAGGGGATGAATTGATTAAATAAAATTATAACGTGTATAAAGCCATGTACGTACTGTGTGCATGGGAAGACCATTAATATTTTTCTAAGACGCGATACGAAATAAACCCTTCACCTATAAAATCTATAGAGCACGCACTACCTTTGCTGTGAGCCAGTGATTTTATATAGCTTAAATTAAACTCTTATCCAAGATCCAACAAAATTCGTTTACATACATGACAATTTGATTAGCGCGTTCCATAACGTTATTAACTTCGTCTTTCGGAAGCACCCTCTCAAGTGGTGTATGAGTATCTCGTCTGAATTTATTATTACTATGAGGCTGGTCTTCCCTGCCCCTTATTATGTAATTCTTCGTTGTTGTTATATTCGATGGGTGTTGAGTCTGATTAATGTTTCTAAACTGCGGCCACGATAATCGATTGTTGTTTACACTGTCGTTTTCAATTTGTACGCAGGATAATGTGACAGTGGGAGTGGTCGATGGTAAACAGACATTTCGTTGCTTCTGATAGCTGGGTGGACGAGTATGTTTGTGAGAACTGAAAAATCCTTTCATGCTTAGTTGATTTCTCGACGCGATCATGTGATTTCATATTTATCGTTATTTATTTTTCTTATGTAAGATACTATCATAAATAACGAGTTTATTAAATTGCAATATTTATTATTCATACTTGTAACGGAGAGTTAATGACCTTAAGGTTTAATTAGTGAATAAACTATATTAATGAAGAAGAAAATATCGAAATGATTAATCGCGCATGACATTGTAATAATGAATTATATGAAGTAAAAATTATTATCAAATTGTCGCTCGCGATCATGCTTAAAAGAGTACAGCAGAAAGAATAATGCACTCCAGAGTGATAAAATATTTTCATGTGGAAAAAGTCATCAGGTTGCTCTCTAATAACATCTAATACAGAAGTGCGAACATAAAAATCTAAATATCTGTAGAGACATACAGAATTAAAGTGGTGTACAGCTGTATGGATTTACAATTATAATTCTATAATCCTTAAGAATAATCCTTTGAAATATAAAATAAACAAAAATGTTCTCAAAATCTGCAATTGTGTTTTGCATTAAACGTCCACTTGTGATTGTCGCGTATCAAAAGAGATTTATGAATACATTTTTTGTAAGAGAGAGATATTAGTGTAATGTTTGGCACTTGATAATATTCAATTCAATGTTGTAAATCCATAACAAATCTTAGACTAAATAATACTTAACATATTGTAAAATGACACATACAGTGGATCAAATACCACTTACGCAATTCGGTTAATAGTTAGATTGACGGCCGATAACGTCACAAGATGGCTACAGGGACAAAAGACAATGTGACCAATATAAATATACTCAACGTTCCAATTAGATATGAACACATAAAAACCTTTTTAGCTAGATGCAAATTTATACACCGTAGGGTGACACAATATGCAGATCAAACATATTTATAGTCAAGCGTAACGACGTTGGTATTTGTTCATTATAATTATTAATAAAAAATCAATAAATATAAAAGCATTTGACAGATTTTTGAAAGAATCACCCTTCGTAAGAACAGGTATAGCATGAAATTAATAAATACAAATTAATACATACCTTATTAAATTCTCGTTTGGTGTCCTATATCTGTTTTGTGCAGATGTCTTATTGCCATCGGCTGAAACAAAATAGAACATATTTTATAATCCAAATCAAAAGTATTTACAAATGTTTATTATATAAAATCTTAATATGAAGTATAATTACCTCTGCCATGTCTGTGTGCACGTCCTGCTTCCTGAAATGCAAAATGAGCTCGAAAAAAAGCTCTGAGAATAGCCCACCTAAATACAGCGACCGGATCGGCACCGACGAGCTCTCGGACAAAAGCAAGGGATGAGTTTTTGAGCACACCAACCACTCCATCTGGTCTCATCAAATCCAAATTCTTCTCTCTCATATTAGAAGCTTGGTATTTAACAGCTCCTGCGTAATGACGTACGACAAAGGCTGCTTCACGTCTCTGTGGTGCTTCATAGAATGGATTTTCTTTGTGCACTGTATTAAATTTTTGTAACAGTGTCTCATTCGTTGCACCTGGGAAGCTAAAAAAACATACATTGACAAGGTGATATTTTTGCTTATAATATTATTGTTTTAAAGAGAGAGACAAAAAAGAAAAACAAGGTGCTAACTTGCATTGATCATCTAAAAGGCAAAGAAGTCCATTTGGTTTTCCCTCAATAAGATTTAAACAACCAGAATTATCACTGTATCCTATATCTGTCCATCTGATTCCTTGCTTCCTGTACTCTCTTTGTTCATATTGAAAAACATGTTGATTAAAGTAATGTTGCAATTGTTCGTTCGCATAATTGATGCACAACTGTTCAAAGCTATTGCATGTCTTGAAATCTTCGAATCCGAAGATATCAAGTACACCTATACTATTGCCTTGATGATCCCTCAACGTATCCTTTTTCGAGAGTAAAGCATGATTGACCTAAGATTGTAAATAGTAATTAGTTATAATGTTTATATTAATATTTGACATTAATTTGCCTAACTCTTCTACCTGAAGTACGATCCAATCAAATAAAGCTCCATACAAACACTTGGCCATTGCATCTCTTGCCGCTATTGCTTCTGGAAGTCTATAATTAATGACCAATGTTTCACCAGAAGCACGTGCGCGTTTAGCAGTTAATGCAGCCAAAAGAGTTTCTTGTTTCACCCTAAGCAATTCGGATATTAATGCGACGACTTCGGGATTCTTAACTCCTACTGCCTCGTCATGATGATGGTAAGATTTTCTTGGTTGAAATTCCACATTACCTAGGAAATACAATATTGATAGTTATATTTTTTAAAAACAACTAACGATATTTTAATAATTACCGAGTAAAAGAACAGCTGATAAAACTGCAAAAAGTCGTTTTTGCTTTTCAGGTGTGAATCCCACCATCTCCATAGATTGCTTCAATCTCGAAAATTCATGCCTTTCATCGATGTTTTCAAGACCATAACAGCCACTTTTGTTTAAATAATTATAACGTTCACAACATTCTAAATGTAAGAGCTGTTTTTCCTGTTCATTTGCACCAGCTAATAAATAGTAAAAAACGTGATAGTTCCTTTCATTTCTTCCTTGAGAAACTATCCTTGACTTTTCCAACAGATATTTCTGAACTACTGCCCTGTTGTTTAAATAACCATTATTGTTATGCATTTTAATTGAATATATTTCATAGCAAAGAGGTACTTACCCATGTACCATTCCATTTTCTTTATAATTCACTTGTATGAATTTTCCAAAACGGCTACTATTGTTATTATGTGCAGTCTTTGCATTACCAAATGCTTCGAGTACAGGACCAGCACTAAGTATTGTTTGTTCAACACCGCTACCATGAGAACCTTTTTGACTTAAGGCAGTTAGATGATGTAGTAAAAAGTTTGTTGACTCTGTTTTACCCGAACCACTTTCACCACTGATCACAATACACTGATTCCTTTTTTCTTTTAACATGCAATGATAAGCCGCATCAGCTATCGCAAATATATGCGGAGGTATATCGGGCCCCAATCGTCTGTTTTGATAAAGTTTCACGTATTTTGGATTATAAATGGGATAAAATTTAAATGGATTTAAAGCAATCAATATGCTGCCAACATAGGTATATATATTTCCAGCTAAGAATCTAGCACGAAGATTGTCCAAAAGCGTCTGCTCATTAAGATCGGGAAGCTGGCATAAATCTGGATATTCTTTATCTCGTGGTTGATATAGAAATCTATTGAAATAATCCTTTAATAATTGTGGATCCATAGGAAATCTGCTGTCACACCATAAATAATCCGTTTGCTTTTTCCTCAAGTAAAACCTAAAGAGATACGAGCATAGATAAGCACATACATATTATTTATATTTGCAATATGTACATTTGCAAATAACTTGTAATTTATTAAAACAATATTAGATTACCTGTAATATTCTTGCTGAGCAACACTTTTTGGCCAAAGTAACATAAGCGCTACAGGGCATTCAGAAGGACCAAGTCTTCTTTCTTTACATTCCTGCCCGACAGAATTTCCTACCACTTCTGCTAACTCGTAACCATTGGAAACATCTACCAAACCCAGTCTTTCAATAATACATTCAACTATTTCTGCTGAAGAAGTCTGTTTTGTAGCTTTAATAGACAGCGCTTCATATTCGGGGCTCCATTCGCCCACGAATACTTGTACCACTCCAGAACTAAACATATCCATATTTATAACCCTGGAAATATTATCGATGAAAGAATATTTCAAATAATATTGATTTCTATATAACGAATATATATTAAAATAAAATTGACTATATTACCTTCTTGTTATTAGGGTTAGCAAATACGTCCTCTGCCATCCATAGGATACTTCAAGCATATCATTACTCCTTCATTCTTCTTTGTTGTTATGTACACCCACTTATGCAATGATTTAAAATAACTTTTACACATTCTGTTTAAAAATATTAGCTACTATACTCTCAGTTTGTTCTTTATTATCAACAGTCTATGTACACGCATTAACTGTACTGTATCTCAAACGGTCATATAATTTAGTTTCATTGCATAACTATGTGCTAGCTGGAATTAACCAGACTATATTTAAGTAAAATACTTCATTTAATTACAGCATCGAAATTATGTAGAAACAATCGTTTAACTAAACAAAATATCATAAGCCTTTTTTCTTCCTCTAAATAGTAATATAAACTGTTTAGGTATATCGGTAGTTGCTTTCTGATTAATATCAAGTATCATTCTATTATTCAACGACTTGATCAGTAGGAAAGAATGGAGTATTATAATTTTGTTCTATATTTTAATGTAATAAAATAGATTCACTAAAATTATAATTTCCTCCTTTAGTTTCTAAATTCAGTCAAATTGTAGGTCTTTATTATTGATCTTGTTCTCAAAGAATAGGAGTATTTTTATTTGTATGACTACTTTTAATCTTAATGTCACGTGATTAACATCGAATGCCTATAGAATTTTCTTAACAGTCATCAAATTATTATCATGAAATTTGTTGTACAGTTGCAAATTGCGTGGGCGTGCTATTGTTGGCAGGCAGTAGAGTAATCTACTTGCTAGGACAAAAGTATATAGGTCTCAATATATTGGCATATCCATCTCGAGTATTTTAACATGTTTATTGAGACAGAGACCTTTTTTCATGGATAACATTTCTTGTAGAAAGTTTCCTTAATGAGAAAAATACTTTATCTGAAAAAAGCCAATAAATAGAATATGAAATGTCTTTGTTACAAATGACAAAATAATCAAATGCATGCATAACCATTTACAAAGTATTTCAATTTGCGCAGAATGATTTAGGTCACGAAAGAAGGATTTATTACTTGTAATGAAACACTGAAACAGTATTATAAGTTATTCTACAATATCTTATTTATAGGAACGTCTGGAAAAAAATGAAGCGAGGATACCATAGCGAGAACGAAATGACAGCAAGAGATAGAGGCTTGACGTATGATATAAAAGAAAAATTACTTGAACCAAAAGTATAACCTTAAAACAAGTAAACGATATAAATTACATTCTTTTGTTGCGTTAACTGGCTTGTGTATAAATACGAAGACGATAACGATGGACTGATTTTGTGTCTCGGAAAGAAAAAGATAACCCCACACCTATCGACGACCTTTTTCGATCTACATTACATATCCACGCGTACAGTAATCGTTGAAAAGTGGTGCAGCACACAATAAGGAGAACAACACTTGGAAACAATATTCGAGCGAACATCAGGCTAGATTGTGTATGATCCTACATACGTAACCTTTCTCTCGTTCTCTTTTTTTCGCCATCTCTACGTTTTAGCACGCATTCACTTCCAAGATATTAGAAAAAGAAAGATTTCTCGCGAAAAAGGACAACACTTGAACTGTTAAGCGAGGAGCTATTGCCGAGATCGGTCCTGCATCCGTGTCGACGGCTTGACATTCGCAAGGAAAAACTTCCCGTCCCGTCTATTGGCGGGTCACGGATCGTGCTACCAATCGAGCGCCGATACGCGATCGCAAACGTCAACAGAGTAAACTGGGCTTAAAGCGGCTGAAGGAATTTCTCGCTCGAAGGTAGACCGATCACCGGACACCACCACCACCGTCGGCAATAGTAATAGAAATAGCAATACCAACTTCTACCACAATTAACGTTCGCGAGAGATCAGACAGAGACAGAGAGACAAAAAGAGAAAAGGAGAAAAACAAAGAGAAAAAGAGAGAGAGAGAGAAGGCAAGCAGACGGACAGACAGATAGACAGAGAAAGAGATAATGAAAGAAAGAGAAGAGAAAAAGACAGAGAGAAAGAGAAAGAAAACGTGTCTTAAGGATCATGCAATAAAAACATTAAAGAAAAATGCACAAATTTTTTCATAAATTTACCTCCTTTGTCAATTTTAAGCTATTAACGATGACACATCCTTTTAGTGCACGAGAGAAGAGTCTGGTGTACACTGGTAAGTACATGCTAATCGCGGCCTCCTAGCTCCCTTCCTTTCCCGCACTGCCACTAAACCGTCACCGTATCTCGATACGTTCAGAAAAGACTCCTGCTCTTTTTTTCCTCTTTCTGCACTCGCACGCCGCCAAAATATTCTTCTTTAACGAACACCCTTCGAAAAACCAGCACCTTCTAATTGTAAGAGAGTGAGACGAGACGAACACCCACGATCGCTGCGTGCACACAACTATGCTTTCTCTCTCTTTCTCTTCTTTTCTCCCCCCTCTTCTCTCACTCATTACACGCGCGCGCACACATTCGCGATGCAATCTTTTCAGAAGCACTTACAATACGGGCAAATTGACACTCGACGAGCAAGATCTTTCGTTGCTTTACTTCCTATTTTCTATCATTGAATCTTATCAATGATCTTAACAATTGACGACATCGAATTTATCGCGGTGTTTTTGTTCTCTCGATTCTAGATAATGCCAGCACACTACAAACCTTTGCCCAGTTTATCGCCCTTCGTCTCTTCTCGGGATTCTTCGTCCCGATACGTCCACCATTTCGATTTTCCTAATCACGTGACTATTCTGGTAACACGATTGGTTTGTTGTCTCGATCACGTGATACATCATGAACCATCGGAAAACGATCAAGAGCAGAGAGAATAGTGAAACGTTTCTACGACTTTAAACATTTCTTATTATTTTCGATATTTTTTCAAGGAAATTCTCTATTAATCTAATTATTATTTTATACCGTTTTTACCAAAACGAGGAAGAAAATTAACGAAAAAAAAATCAATTTTTCCAATACCGAATATAAACCAAGAATAATTCAGATATATATATATATACATATTCGATTGCAGTATGCAGAGTTTGATGCGACTTAAAATAAATTAAATACAAATCTTGATAGTATATATTGATCTCGTTGTTTTTTACTACGATCTTTAAAAACTAACGTTTAGGCTATTCACCACTACCTTTCACCCGAAGAGGTGACTTCAGCGACATGTATGGGTAAAAAATGAACTAAAAGCGCAACAGGAGAGTAGCGTCCTACCATGCGCCTATAGTATCTGTGTATAAGCTTGTAGAGGGGCCATATACACTCACGTTAGTGTAGGCTAGAGTATTTAATGTTTGTAGGCTTGCACTTTTCCATCTCTCATCTATGCGTTAAATAAAATGCAAGGTCGATATAATTTTGATCGATGACAAATTTACAGACAATAATTAATATTATTAATAACATATAGTAATTAATATAAAAATATGCGATAAAAAGAAACAAGATTTTTTCGAATGATTTGACGCTTATTTTGCGTAAAATAATTATAATGCATACTTATATATAATAGTAAATCTGAAGATAGATTACTTTAAAAGTATTTGTTAATTGTACAAATTTATATTTCTTGTTTCTGGTTAAAGCTTATTTAAGTAGCTATTGGCTCGATATTTGTGATGGAATGCAAAGCATATAAAATATGATAATATTATAGTACATTATACCGAAAATAATATCGTGTTGTTACCGCGTGTAGGTTGCTACTTTTGGAGACCCACGGAGTAACGATGACTCTAATATTCAAACTCCAGTGATTTTAATACTACTTTTATTTCAAAACCAAAGCAAATTAATGTAGGATGAAAGATTTTAGCTTAATTAGTTATGTGTGTATGTGTGTGCGTAGAGATCAGATGATCGACAATTGAAAGAACAGTATAGAAGGTTTCAGTGTTAGGGTATTGCGTATTATGTATGCAGTAACATCGATCGCAGCCGAGAAAAATGTAGAAGAATCTAGAGGTAGGTATTTATAATTTACTAATGGCGATATGTATTTGTTTTTTAAAGCGTGTATTATATTAAGGGTGTAAATAAGATTACGGCAGTTTTGAGTCTTGAGTGGACCAGCAGAGAGAACAGAGAATGTGGATCTTGAGTAGACCGATCTGAGATTAAAGAGTAAAGAGAAAAGAGTTGTATCATTATGATATTTTTATTAATAAAATCATCATTAACCATAACAGTAAGTGATTCGAGTTTCGCTAGTCTGTAGTCATGGAGGGTTCAAAAAACATCCTCCATATTTTGGGGGCCCAGCCGAGATTGAAACAGATACGGATGCTCGAAACTCGATATTAAAATGTTGTACAGTGAAAAGTGTTAAAATGAACCAATTATCATAAGAGAAATATAAATCGTTAACCGAAAGAGTTTAAGATAGAGAGGAGCTGAAAGCAATTCTTAAGAGATGAAATTTGCCTACAGAAGGAAAGTCCAAGCTTATCGCTAGGCTTCACGAAGCCGATTCGACGGTGATTACGATGGTGATTATCGAGGATCGCGCTCATGTCAGACCGACGAAGAAGAAACCGCTGTGCAGGCAAAGCATACGGTGGAAAATGAAGTGACGTTTCGGTGTTTCGACACTGAAGCATAAGTAAAAGATTTGGAAGCAATCCATGCAACAGTAACGATTAGAGATGATGGGAAAAATGAGCCGTGGTATGAAGTAGCTAGCTGAAGTAAAAAGCGTGCCATTAAGAAGAAGCGATGTCAGCGCTTCGATGAAAGAAATCAAAGATATGTTAGACTGTTACGATGAAATGATAAGATATAGGATCTGGGAAGGTAAAGTTAAAACTATTCGAACTAATTTCAATCTAATCAATGCAGAAATATAATTACTTATTGTATCGCGACTAACTGGAAGCACCTGACAATGGTATCACTCCACTACGGAGTATGTATTATTGTCTCTGGACAACCTACTACGCCAGCTAAGAAGGATGTTTAACCACCCGGAGGATGTTTTCGCGACGCGAATGCGTTTCGAAGAGGGTAAGTATAAAGTAACGGAATCGTTTCTTGAATACCTTCATCAGAAGATCATCTTGGGAAACTAAACCTTGATAAAAGGAGAAGACCTAGTAGGATACATCATCCAAGATATACCCTATAAGCAACTCGGAAATCTTGCACCAACCCAAGCGCCACGGACAGAAGAGGATCTCCTTCGTGCCTTTGCAAACATAATGTTGTAGGAAAAATCGACAACGGAGATACGAGGTAAGAGATTCGAAGAGAACCACTGCTCAAAACTCTCAAAAGTGTGGTAGGGGAGAGCATCGAGGAGGATACAGTGACCAAACAGAGACGACCGCGGAGAAAACAAGGATGGAGCAATGATGCTACAATTGTGGTGGGGCGAATCACATTGGCGCCGAATGCTCCTCGAAAGCAGAAGGACCTAAGTGTTTTCGTTGTGGCGAACGCAGGTATCGCACCTTCCAATATAAAAAAAAGCGAAACCACATGGTACGTATGAAACAACGAGTGCAATGACAGCGGAAGCGTCGAAGATCCGAAAACACCTCAGCATCGCAGGTCATCTCATATTAGCCCTAATGTACACGGCCAATGAAGTCACTATCATAAGTCAGAGTCAGCACACTAGGATGGGTTCGCCACCTTTGAAGGAAGCAAAAATTACAGTCAGAAGGTTCCGCGCGGGCACGAGTACAACGCTGGGACAATTTTGCGTCTCGGCGGATATAAATGGTAAGGCCTTTCCGATGACTATTCACGTTGCATTAGATAAGTCATCTGTGTATAATCTAATATTAGGTCTCGATTTTTTGCAAAGCTTGCAGCGTGAAATAAGAGACGATAGCGTTCACATTAAACCGAAAGAAGATGTCGCGGAAGAATAAGTCCTGGAAATCTTTAAAATTGATATATAATGAAACAAGATGAATCTGTTGCACATAGCTATTGCGGGCATAAGAGAAAGGTTACAGACGTCTACAGAAAAGTGCGTTCCGAAAAATAGTAGAGAGGTAGAGGTAGAAAACGATGCTAAAGAGTCACAGGTCGACAATCGAAATAAAAAGAGGGGACAAAAGTTGGAGGAGAAAAATAAAGTTGAAAAGCAATTGGTGGATAATAAAAAAAAAATTAACGAATCGGATGACAGAAAGAAATATGGAAAAATAGAAGAAGGTAGTGCGGAAGATCAAATGAAATCTTTCATTACCGTACTCTTGAAGACAAGACGGATGTCCTAAGTTTGAGTTTAAAGAAGTGAGACAAAGATGAAAAATGGAAGAATATGAAGTTGTTTAAAATAGGTACGAAGGAAGCTTTGAAGAATGCTATGGAAAAAGCAAAGAAACAAATCGCTGAGTGGATTAAAGACAGTATCGTGAGATCATCGCTTTCAGAATATGCGAGTCCCGTAATTTTGGTCAAAAGGAAAGACGGTTCCAGTCAATTATATGTAAATTATAGAGAATTAAATATAAAAAAATTGTAAGAGATAGGTATCCGCTACCATTGATAGAGGATCAATTAAACGCACTTACAAAACGCGAAGATATTTGGCACGCTAGATCTGAGAAACAGGTTCTTTCACGTGCTAGTTGACGAACGATTGCAAAAATATACGGCTTTCATAATTCCCAATAGAAATTACGAATTCTTACGAGTTCCGCTTGATTTAAGCAATTTCCCTTCAGTGTTTCAACGGTACATTAACGCAACTTTTAGAGATTTGATAGATAACAAAATAGTGCTAACTTATGTGGACGATCTTATTGTAACATCAAAAGATTTAGCGAACGGGATAGAAAAGTTATAGTTTAGTTTTAAAAACCGGCCAATCTTTTATATATATATAATTAATTAGAAGAAGAATAAGTTTCTTGAAAGTAGGGTTGAATTTTTAGGATACGTCATATAGAACGGTCATGTTTTTCTATCAGAACGAAAAACTAAAACTGTATGTGAGTTTCAGGAGCCGTCTACGGCTTGACATGTTTAGAATATTCTTGGCCTAATGGGATATTTCTGTAAATTCATACTGTAGTATTATTCAGAGATCGCCCGTTTCATTCATTAGCCTAGTTAAGAAAGATACAAAGTGTCATTTAACGGAAAAGGAGAAAACCGCGTTAAATACTTTAAAAGCCAGATTGTGCGATTATTCCTGTTTGAGGTTCTATCGAGCGGGAGTGGGGACTGATTCACAGAGGCATATTGTTTAAGAAAGTAAGGAATAATATACGTAGTGGTACCCAACAAATGACAATAAGACATTAATGTAAGTGACACATACGTAATCAATTCTTAAAACGTGGAAAGGATATTCGAGGACAAATGTATGTGTAGAATGGCCGAGTATAGGATGAAAGATTCTAGTTTAATCAGTTGCGTGTAAAGTTCTCACTCAAATTCTAAGTTCCTTACCCTCTTGCTTACAATTTTTAATATCGTATAACAGTTGCATTTGAACAGCATGTTTGATACGTTACATTTGATCGACGCGTCGGTAAAACAATTTACTCGATGTAGAGAGTTCTATCTTACCGATTGTGTTAGTCGAAAGAACGATTATCATTCGAGAGAGAGAGAGAGAAAGGACATTAATTAGTACCTCATTGTCGTCGCTGTAAGAAAACGAACTCTACGAA